GAACCCCAAATACCAGAAACCCCAAATTGTATACAAGGCACATTGTGGCAGAATTTTCTCTGAAGACTAAAGGCAAAGAAGGGGAAAAAAAAAGCCTAAAAGAAGTCAGGCAGAAACAATGGATCACATATAGGGAAATAAGGATTCTATTGACAGTAGATTTCTCATCAGAAACCCTGGTGGGTAGAAGTAAGTGGAACAGCATTTTTTAAGGGCTGAAAGAAAACAACCCAGAATTTTATAGTCAGCAAAAATATTGTTAAGGTCTTTTATCTAATAGGCTTATAGTGAATAAGTGACATGATCTCTATATTATCTGCCCCTAATGCTTATTTGCTATAAAAAATTCACTGTTACTTGGGCTACAACATGATTATAAACACAGATCAAACATGGGCACAAATATTATAGAGTAGAACCAAATTATAGATGGCAATTTGAAATATTCTTCTATTAGAATTCTTTTTAAGGAAGATTTTATTTATGTATTTGGGAGAGAGAGAGAGGCAGACTACAGAGGGATAGTGAGAGGGGAAAGCTGACTCCCCGCTGATCTGGGAGCCCAACATGGGGCTCAATCCCAGGAGCCTGAGATAATGACCTGAGCTGAAAGCAGATCTGAACTAACTGAGCCGCCCAGATGTCCCTCTTCTATTAGAATTCATAATTAATATTTATATTTATATATACATATATATGTTTGTGTGTGTATGTGTGTGTGTGTGTGTGTATATCTTTGTGTGTGTGTGTGTGTATATATATATATATATATATATATATATATATAGTGACATGCATATAGATAATTTTTTAAGATTTTATTTATTTATTTGACAGAGATTACAAGTACACAGAGAGACAGGCAGAGAGAGGAAGGGAAGCAGGCTCCCTGCTGAGCAGAGAGCCCAATGTGGGGCTCGATCCCAGGACCCTGGGATCATGACCTGAGCCGAAGGCAGAGGCTTTAACCCACTGAGCCACCCAGGCACCCCTATAAATTTTAATTGATAGGAAATTCTTATATGCTTAAATTGTATACTTAAAACCCCTCAGAAATCCATTATCTGCATTTGAGGGCTTGGCTACATCACTGCATTCTTCTTCATCATGCTTTCGGCAGAGGGATTTGCAATGTTCTCTTGCAACGCAGGTCCTCTTCTGTACCTCTTAGCACATCCTGTTCTTTATAGAGCATTTTGTGAGCACTTGTCCCTGAGCTTATCAGTCGTCCTTCATTTTTGTTTATGCTCCTTTCGTATTTGATGCTCAGCTAGTTTTTTTGGTTATAAACCAGGTACCTACCAGATTTCCTACATGTTCGGTTTCAGATGTTTTTATTTAAACATATCTTTTACCTTAGCCAGGCCATAGGAATCCCTACTGCGGGATACTATTTTTACTCTAGGCTTTATGGTGTGGGGATTGATCTCCCTCCGGGTTTGCCTAGCCTTATGAGTGGGGTCCAGATAATGAAAAGGTAGACATTCCATTGTGAGATAATGGGTGTGTGAGCTAAGGTATTGAGAGTATGAAGCAGATGTTCAAATAAGTGGACAATGCTTAGACGCCAACCAGATCAGGGCTGTGTAGAGAAAGAAGTGAATGAAAGGATCTGACCAGACTGACTGGAGAAAGTTTGTCAGGACAGCTACAGTGAAGGTCAGTTCTCCTGGGCTTCTCACCCAGAACCTACACACATTTACCTTGAGATGTGGGCATTGCTCAAGGGGACTAAGAGGATATCAGGGCATGAGAATCACAAGTCTAAGGCGACAGACAAACCCCAAGAATCACTGAGCTTTTTGAAGGGAAAAAATGGAGAAAGAAAGAAAAAAAAAGAAAAAAGAAAAAGAAAGCAAAGCAAATGGTGCCGTGTTGAAACTTGATGGGCAGTAGAAAGAAAAGGATCCTTGTTAGTTACAGGGAACACTCATTTAAAGTGGGGAAAAAATCAGAGAAGCATTTAACCCTACAAAGACAAGAATGGCTATGGTTTGGTCTTAAATACGTAAGAAAAAAAATCCCATATAGGCTTCATATTCTAAAAGAGCAATAGGGACACTGGACAGTGGAGTAGCTCTTCCACTTATGTATTTGAAACCAAATGTTAAATATCTCATGATATGTAATGGAAATAAGGTGATTTACTACTGATTTCCTCTGCCTCTTTGCTCTCTTTAATAAAGAGATTACAAGGAGTTTATCCTGTCAACTCATGTTTTTCTTTACAAAACAAATAAGTATCAATGATGATCATGTATGTAACTTCTACTGCTAATACTAATAATGCATTCTTATTTATTGGATGTCTACATTGTATGAACCCAGTGGTAGTTGCTCTGTATACATTATGTCATTTACTCCACACAATTTTCTCCGAGGTGGCCTTTATTGACCTGAAAGCAATGAGATAACTTTCATTAAGCCTTTTAACTGAAATCATAGAGCTGGCAAATGTCATAGACACAAGCTAATATAGAAATCTGACTTTAAAGTCAGATTTTAAGGGATGAGTAGGTGATTGTTCACTTAGGTTGGCGGGAACTATAATGTTATATTCGTATAGTCAAAAAAAATGAAGAAGATTTGCTCCCTTCAGCTATAATAAAAGTAAGAACCTACTGCGTATTTTCAAAGTCATATGCATTTAGGTCATTGACATTTAAAAAGTGATCTTAAGAATATCTGCCATTTAGTAATCATACAAAATTTTTGGAAGGAATGAATAGATGAGACAATACTAGACATTAATGGGAAGCTCCTTTATCCCATGAACCTAAATTTCTAAGTCTGTAAGGGTTATGCCATCTATCTTCATTGAATCAGAAGTGTGAGAATGTCATGGTTGATTGATTGCCAACTTCTTTTAAGCCCCACCAAACAGCCTACTGTTAAGATAGTCTAGAGAGGCCAAAACCATCGCTCAAGGCCAAACAAAGATTCCCTGCTGTTGATCGGATGACAGAAAGTGGGTCTCCTTAAGTGCTTGGAATCAGGGTTCATGTGTGAAGTAAGCTTCTAGATTTAGCAGAAGTTGTTAGAAAGCTTTTCTGTTTTGGCCTCCAGGGTATGAATCCCTTTAAGGTAGGATTTCATGGATATTTGCAGAATGTTACCTGCCAAAGAAATGTCATTTCATTAGACACTAACCCCAAATGAGAGCTAGAAGGTAGCTGGGCACTGAGCATGCTTCAGCAAGGAGAGAAATTTAGGTTTGTGAGAATGAACAAATGATTGTTTGAGTGAAATCCGAGAGGAACTGGTGAGGAAAGAAGGGATGGGTGATGCCAAGAGATCCAGTCACAAAGGACATTCACTGCATTCAATAAATTAAGATGAACGTTTTGCAGATGCTCAATACATTGCCTCAATAAAGCAATAGCTTTGGAAAGCCAGAGGTTAATAATTATTTTAAATACTTTGTCCAAAATCATGTCTATATGTCTGAATTTTTATCCCCTATCTATTGCAAATGTTTATTAGAGTAATATATATTACATACGTATTATATATATGTATGTTTTAGATGGTTGAAATAGCTGATTAGACATTTAAGCACAAGAGAAACTTGAGTACTTGGACTTTCCAGAAGTTTCATCTTTATCAGCCTCTACATGTATACATTGTTTTAGCTCTCTCATAATTTTCCATTGTATTTATTGAAGGTTGTGCTAAAGAAACAACAGAACAGCCAGAAGACTCAGAGTGAACCTCGGGTAGTTCATAGGGCTCTCCTAGGATTCGAAGGTGGCCTCAGGAGTCACAGGTCTGCTCTGTGGCCCAGGTTCTACACAGAGTCCCTCTGATTCCATGGGCGAGTCATTTTCTCCTTCTGACCCTCTGTTTTCTTTATCTGTAAAACTATAAGTTTATATAAAGTCATTCAACCTATCCTTTCAGCTCTAACAAGCTACATGTGTTTTTTTATTAGAATAATGTGGAAACATTTTAAATGACTCAAACTTAGAATCCATGAGATGAATAATATGTTAAATATCGATCGCATACACGGAGGCCAGTACTCTAGTTATTGGAAAAGTTCTCTTTGACAAGAACACCTGGACTCGGTTTGTGTCGTAGGGAGTGACTCTCCATCTCTTTGTCCTGTCTTACTGTTTTCTTTACTGCAACTTATAGTCACGTCACTTGAGATGTATTTTATGTTGGTTTGTTTTGTCTTGTTTCCTTATATCTCATACTAGGTGAGTCTGGATCAGAGCTAGGAAATTGAAGAAGACAGTGTTTACCCTGAACTCTCCCGCCATCTTCCTTGTCTTTAAAACATGTCCGCTTCCCTCATCCCACTCTCTTGTGTGGCCTCACACTGAGAGCAGCCTGCTTAGCACTGTGCTTTCTGCTCTAGGTACCTTCCCATTCTCCTCCCACCTTCCCTTCCTCCTCCTCCTTCCTCCTCAAGGGCTTGTGTTCTGACAGGTAATTTATAAAATAACAAATACTGTATTTGTAGATGCATCAGTCATCTTGGCTCAGTGATTTGCGTTTTATTAGGAATGCCTGGGGCTTTAAGGAAGAGGAGTCGTGGAGGGAGGGGAAGGTGCACATAAGGGGAGGTTAGACTGTTGGCTTCAGTTCTGATTCCTGAGAGATCTCGGCACCGAGGCATCAGTAGATTTTGCAATGGTAGAGATGCTCTTCCCTCCTTTCTTTGCAGTATTAGCTGAAGTAGAAAGCCTGACCCTTTGGCATCCTGAGCATGGCCATCCGAGAAAACACCTCAGTGTGTTTCAACAGTTTCACAGCAGTCAGACTTACCTTCCGGGATCCTAATCACACAGATGCTCTACTCTGAGCAGTTTTCCATGGTTTCTCATCAACCCTCAAGATCCTTAAAACATTGAAAATGTGTCCACTTATTCCACACATTAGAAATATAAAAACCTCTCTACTTGTCTATGCACTGGCCATGAACCATAGCAATGGAGCAACGAAGTGACATAACATCTTGCAAGAATAACTGTGTTTCTGCCATTTCTTTCCAGCTGTGTCCTGTGGAATCCCCGAGTCCCCAGGAAACGGTTCATTTACGGGCAACGAGTTCACGTTGGATAGTAAAGTGACCTATGAATGTAACGAGGGCTTTCAGCTGGAAGCTGGCCAGCAAGCAGCCGCTGTGTGTCGGGAAGATGGATTATGGAACAACACAGGGAAGCCCCCCATGTGTAAACGTGAGTGTCCGGGGCCTTTGCATATCCTGGCAGATTTAATTTGGAGTGAGATTCATGGGTGAGAGCTCCAGATTACGAAGTACAGAGACCCTCTTCTACAGCAAGTGAGGCCCTGGTCTCTTGCATTGTGGTGATATTAGAGCCAGTCTAAATTTGAAATTGCTAAAGACAGATAGATAAATAAATGATAAGATAAAAAAAATAAAACCAGTCTCTTCCCCAGAAAGTGCTGCAACCATAAAAGATAAGCTCGGCCTTCTTGAAAATTGGTCAGATAGAATCACGTCGGTTCCGTCAAGATCTAGACCCTCTGATTTATGCAGCAAACCTTGGCCATGCTGTCACTTTCAGTTTGGTTAGATGACCTCTAGAGGAGGTTGAGACATATAGCTTGGCGATAGTATTCTATGCAAAATTAAGACATAACTCAACGTGAGTTTCCTATCCGCCTCCCACCTCTTTATAAATTCCTTGAGGTTAAAGCAGTGCTTTGCCTCTTAGTGTATCAGCTACTCTATATAATACATGGGTGTTTAGTAAATGAGTCACTGATTTGTGAAGAGTAAGTTTTCTGGAAAGTTCTTTATGGTATATAAATATGTATATATATATATATATATACACACATATATACACACACGTATATATACATGTGTATATATACAGTATATGTAGATATATACTATATCTATATATATGGTATATAGTATTCTTAAAAGGATCAGAAATTTGGGCTCGTGCTTATACTGTAGTCTTAAAAAATAATAATAAACTCCATAGTGCAGAGCCAAAGAGAGCAAAAGTTCACACACACACACATACATGCACATAAAATGTACACCAAAATATCTTTGTATCTATATTAAAACTAGCTTCAAACTAGAAGTAATCTATTTAATTTCTAAAAATTGAGAACTATATATTTCCACATAAACAGTATTTTTGCTCTTATGATATTTGAAAAGTATTTCCACATGGTCTTATAAAACTAGTTATAAAACTAGTTTATTGACCTCTTTTTGTGTGTAGCATTTTGGTTATGTTAAAATTATTTGAACTGCTTAGCTATGAACACATAAATGTTTACAGAACATGGTTGACTTCTCTCCATAGTTCTTATTTTCCTTGTCATCATTTTCATCTATTTTTTTTAATTTTGCTGATAATTATTGCTTTTCCTGAGAAGCAGTGAGGCCTCTCAACAGTGAGACACTGTTGAGACAATAGTAATATTTCTCACTTTTTTATTTAATAAAGAACTATTTTATTATAATTAAAAATAGTATAGGAAACTAGAATAATAAGATATATTGGTAGGTTTTTAAGTTCAATCCTAGATAAATTTTTTTCTCTCGAAATGAAAGCCTAACCCCACAGATGTCAATAACATTGTATGTTTTGGCTCTTTATAATGAAAACAATTTCCTAGGCATTTAAGACATCGCTCTCTTTGCACACAGCCTAGAGGTTGTTATGAATAGTCCTTGTCAATGTAAGGTGTCTACCTTGTGCCACATGTTTCAAACAGTTTATCTCTTAATCTCCTGACAGCTCTAGAAGGAGGACACACACCACCTTCCCAATGAAGTAAAAGCTACTTGTCGGCAGAGTTTGGGTTGAATTCCATTCTCTCTAGTTCTCAATCCTGTGCCCTTTCCCTAATGCCGTGGTTTGGCACTCTGGTTACACATAAAATCATGTGTGTAATCATTACTAGTGTCCAGATCTGACTCTCAGAGATCCTGAGTCAACTAGTCTTGGATGGAAAACAGGCATCAGTGTTTTTGTTTTAAGTGCTCTGGGTGCTATGCTTAAAATGTCAGGTATCTGCTAGGTCTTAAAGGGAAAGCAAATTTAAAATTTGTATAGCATCTGAGAAAGATATGATAAGTGACAAGGTAACTGTGCAAATGACGTAAATGCAATTTTTATTCTTACATCCTTTTTTAAAAATAGACTTTGTCTCTTAGAACAACTTTAGGCTTATAGGAAAAATAAGCTGGAAGTACAGAGATTTCCCGTATACTCTCTCCTCCCGATTATCACGAGTACCCCCCAACAAGTGGAGAGGTTCATTTTTACAAGTGATGAACTTGTTTTGATACCCCATTATCACCCAAAGCTCGGCTTACAGAAGGGTTACTCTGGGCATCATACATTCTGTGGGTTTGGGCAGATGGGTAAATATATATATCAACCATTACGGTGTCTACCTGTATTTTCAGTGCCCTAAAAATCTTCATACTCTGCCTGCTATCTGCCCCACCCTACTCCCCTCCCCTTAATACCTGGTAACCATTAATCTTTTTTCCCTGTCTCCATAGTTTTGCCTCTTCCAGAATGTCCTATAGTTAGAATCATACACTATGTAGCCTTTTCAGAATAGTTCTTTTCACTTAGTGACATGCATTGAGGGTTCCTCTATGTCTTTGCATGGCTTGATAGCTAATTTCTTTTTGGTGCACAATATTTTGTTGTCTGGGTGGACCACAGTTTATCCATTCCCCCCAACTGAAGGAGAGCTTGCTTACTTCCAAGTGTAGGCTCTTATGAATAAAGCTGGTGTAAATATTCGGGTGCAGGTTTTCTGTGGACACAAATTTTCAACTCTTTTGAATAAATACCAAGAAGCATGATTGTTGGGTCATATGGTAAGAGTATATTGAGTTTTCCAAACTGGCTGCACTGTTTTATATCTTCCTCCCCAGCAATGGGTGAGAGTTCCTGGTGCTCCATGCCCTCATCAGCATTCAGTGTTATCAGTGTTCTGTACGTTAGCCGTCAATATGTGTGTAGAGGCATCTCCTTGTTGTGCTAACTTGCATTTCCCTGGGGGCATATGCTGGGAAACATGTCTCCATGTGCTTATTTGCCATTGGTCTACCTTCTTTGGTGAGATTTATATGTAGGGCTTTTGCTTGCTTTTAATCAAGATGTTTGCTTTATCGTTGAGCTGTAAGAGTTCTTTGAAAATTCTGGCTACCAGTCCTTTATCAGAGATGCTTTCTCTAAGTGTCTCTTCCCAGGCTCTGGCTTGTCTTCTTATCCTCTTGATGGTGTCTTTCTGTCTTCTCATTCTCATGATGGTGTCTTTCAGAGCAGGAGTTTTCAATTTTAATGGAGTACAGGTTATCAATTCTTTCTTTCATGGAACATGGCTTTGGTGTTGCCCTTAAAGAGTTATCCCCCCAATAAAGGATCACTTAGATTATCCCTTGTGTTACCTTCTAGGAGTTTTCTACTTCACATGTGGGTCTTGATCCATTTCAAAGTAATTTTGGGGGCAGGTGTAAGTTCTGCACCTATCTTCATCTTGGCGTGAGGATGTCTGGTTGTTCCAACACTATTTATCGAAAGTCTAGATGTGCTGAATTTGTATTACTTTTTGCTCCTTTGCCAAAGATCAATTTACTATGTGTTTGGGAGATTTAATTTTCTGCTCCATCTATCTACGTGTCTTTTTTTTTTTCCAGTATCACAATGACTTCTCACTTTTGTTTTTATTTCGTTAAAACAGAATACAAAATGACACTTTTTTCCAAAACGTTTTTAAATGAATGCAAAAATTTGGAAAATTAATTGAAAAAATATTTCCCATTTTCCTACAAAATCAATCTTCTTTTTGGTTGTCAATATTTCTAGGGACATAATTGATTGTACTAAAAATGCCCTGATGAACACAGATACTTCCATTATTTGTAAAGCTATAGGAAAGGCTTTAAAGCCATAATTTTTCCTAAAGATAATCCAGCTTATTGGGGATCACAGACATATGGTCTCAGTGGTGTTTTTATGACATTTTATTTTAACCAATAAAACATTATCTTTGGATTAATTAAAGGCTGTTACTTCAGATTGAAGCAATGAGCAAGACCCGTTAGTGTGTCACTGTAGTGTTGAATTATTTCATCCTGAGCACATGCTGGACAGAATGCCTCTGTACAAGCCAAACTCTTTTTTATGTATGAGCCATATGTAAGTGTTAAGGCCATACCTCATTGGGTTAAGCAATTACGCACACCAGGATTTTTAAACCTGCTTTACAGCTTGGTCTCCAATGGAGAATGCCAGTGCAAGTGGTTCCTATTTGGCAATGAACAAGTCACTATCATAAAACTGTAACATAAAGAGCCAACTATGTCAGATTAGGAGGAAAAGAGGCACGATATAGTTTTCCATGACAAATGTGTCTGTGCTACATCATTCAGTTACAATAACAATCCTGTGGAGAAACTATTGCTTTCCTTATCTTACTGATTTAAAAAAAAAATGAGTAACTGAGATAGCCCAAGTCTGCAGTTTGCAACCAGGTACATGTGATTGGTCATTATAAAAACACCGAGGCAAGTATTTCATTGCACCGAAACTGCCCTGTTGGAGGTTCCCTGCTGCCCCAGGCAAAGCTATATGGCGACACTGATGGGTAGGTAGGGATCTTTGGGCATTTTGAAAGCACAGCAATTGTGTGACACTCCCAGAACCTGTCTGGGGATGCAGACAATACACAGAGTTTTTGTGATAAAATGGAAAATCAGCCCCAAATTTTCCAAATATTAATTGAAACTTTCAAGTATTTCTTGTCTCCTTATTCTCTGTTACATTTTACAAAAGGGAGACATAGATATTTTATTTAAGTTCTTTGGTATTCAGAGATTGGAAAACCTATTTAATCTTGGTGGGGTGGTGTTTACTTCACTTAATTTAAATTAAAGAAATTGCACAGAGTAAGCATAAAATTTTGTCTTGGGGTCAGAAAATTTGGTTACTGTGGAGCTCTGAAATGCAGATTTCCCCCAGGCCAGTTCCTCTGTGTACTTTGTTGACATGACAGGATTTTGTTTCTTTACGGTCTGCAGTGGCATATAGATCACTACCGGACTCTAAGGAGAAAGGAAGCACTTCTGCTTTGATACATAGTAAATGTAAATGGTAAATAAAATGAGTTGGTGTGGCCCACAGGTTTACTGAAGGAAAGGCTGTAATAAATAACTTTTTCAGTT